ATCATTAAAGCCTAGGGTTTAGACTTAAGCTTAGGCTGGCTATTACACAAAGATTCCTTTTTAAAGAAATCTTGCGCGGAAAAATCATGATTCTATTTCACCCATAAATCACTGGCTTGAGACTCATTATCCACGATAATAGTGAAAAGAACTGAAGTATTGCTTTCGTTTTGATTAGAAATTCGAAAACTCGAAAAGGCTGCTACGCGTTCGAATTGCCCACGGACGTCTTTCACGAATGCTGGCGACGGGGATGCTCAAACTTGGTTCTTGGAGTGCATTCACTAGAAGCTCTTTCTGGCCTTCTGCTTCGTTGCATTCACATCTTACACTTCTACTCCATCCTATTCCATCGATCGATTTGTCTCCACTCTCCGAAATCGCGCGCTTTAACCCGATTCTCTCATTGCGTCGCCTGGTACGTAGCCGGCCAAACGCCGTCTTCTTTCCATGCCTCGCCTGGCTCTGCCTCCTGGTCCTTCGATGGTCCATAACGTGTAGTTTTTGTACGTTTGTTTCTCTTCAGAAACCGAATCTTCATGCGTGAAACTTTGTGTGCTATTTCCAGTGATCACAACTGACATATTCATGTTAGGAAAGAGTGCAAGAATTTTCCGCGCAAGATTCCTTTAACCTATAGGCTTTCAAAAACCTTTTGTGCATAAAACTGGAAGTTTCCCAATCTATTTCTGTTGATCAATAAATCAATAGCAAGCACATTGTAGATATACAATATTTACACAACATTTAACAAATTAATATAACTGAAACAATCAAGTTCTCGGTCCGCGAAAGAGTCCGTAGATATGAAGTAGATCAAGAACAGGCAGTTTATAGTGGTGTCATCGACTGCGCGGGGTATGCGTGTGTGCGTGTGCAATCACGGTCAAAACCGCGAACCTGGTTAATTATAGGAGAATAGATGGGCTTAAAGAAGGATTTTATAGTGATCAAAAGTCAAGGGGCGGGGTTGTCCGTGGACAATGGGCGGAGTTTGCACAACACACACACGCGGGGCGGCAGAACAACAAAATTCACAGCACAACTAGACATAGTACATAGATACGATCGATTGAGCCGTCTTAAACATGGCGACTGAGAAATTACTGAGAATTCCGAGTGTCAATTGAGAGCAGCGGGGACATGTCTCTAGCTGAGGGAGGACCGAGCATAAAGGGGGCAGAACGAAAACTTGAAGCTATGAATAGATTTCTCTTTTTCTGCATACAGCTGTCATCGATGAAGTTGACTGGCAAAGTAATTGGTGAAATGTCGGCCGGGTAGCACTGGAAGGAGAAATGACTCGGCTCCAAGCCGCAACCGTCGAGTGTACGGATCTGGTGTGTTCTCCTAAACCAAGATCATAACTATCAATAATGTCGATCAAAAGGGGCGGAGTTTGCGATAGATCATAACTATAATAAACGACCAGTAACCTATATTTTTGTCAAGTAACTTACAGCGTTGCGTGCCTTCAAAGCACAGCAGCTTTATTTCTTGTATTAGGGCTTTCCCTAGCGCGCTTTGGCGCCACCTGACAACTTACAGCCACCGTTTTATAAGTTTCCTGCAACACTACGGCATGTGGGCAGAGATCCAGATTACGCGAAGCGGCGAAAGGCGTCACGCTTGTGGCATCAGCAGTCGCCTTCTGTCCTGTTTTTTTTTGATTTTATATCCTGTCCCAATGAACCTTGAACCAACGGCAGTGATTAGCAAGCGATGGCGTCAGATAACATCGGGAGCACCAGAAACCACCTATCATATCACTAGCATGGAGCACATCGCTTCCCACATACTGTTGCAAAATGTGGCCCAGGCGTTAATCACGGGCGTGCGCTAAGGCCCACCAGCATTCAGTCTTTCATTTCAGTACTTGTACGAATTGCTCCAGCAGCCCTCGCGGAGTAATTGCAGGCGTTCGAGTGATAAATGTAGCACTGTCTCAAAAAATCGGATTAATATTGCCGGCTTTTGAAGCTGTTATGCTAATCTGACGTGTTCATTTTGCGTTTTATCTGCAATTGCGCTTTCTATCTGGTTGAGACCAACCTAAGCAATCCGATAAATAGTGACGCACCTGTAATAAAGCTCTTATTCGGTGCACAAGAAATGCAAAATCGGGTCGATCGTCGGGCAACGATCGCCAACAGCACTGCATTAAGTCGTATCTGAAAAATTCAGAGTAATTTCAAGGTTGCTGTAGCCACCAAAAGGGTTCAAATACAGTAGCGGGTACCTCCTATAACTTTCCATTTTCAACTTATCGGCAAAAATGGCCTTACTTCCTGCATTTTCTTCCCACTTGAATGGCCGTGGCGTTAGCTTTTGAGACACTACCCTCCTGAACCACATTGAAAGAAATTGTCACACTGACTGGCTTTCTTGCCCCATGACAGGTTATGTTCCTTCCCCTTTTACTCGACTATTACTTGGGGTTTTTTCAACCATTCGTGACAATTGGCAGTTGACCAGTTGGCTGCAAAAATCTATCTGCAAATGGCATCCACGATGTTACCTTGTTTCAAATTGGAATTTGGAAAGTTCTTCCAATGAAGATTTCTGATCCTCTCTATCTACGCCGCCGGAGGAGAAATTCATTCGACTCAAATTTATTGCAGATAGATCTCCTGATTCCTGCTAATACGCATCCGCGTGGGAAATGGGATTAGCGACGTCACACGATTCAGGACAATGTGTCGGTGTGGTAGGTCGAGGACCACCTTTCCGGTTCTGACGGACTTAGCATTTTGAACGTCACCATAGGGTTGTAAGCGGCTCGGCCGTATCAGCTCCCACTCAACACACCGAACGCACACCTGAAAGTTAAATGAGTGTAAGAAGGAACAGAATGAGGGGAGATGATGAAATTTTCCCTCATAGTCTTCACACATTCCAGTCATGAATTGCTGAAATATGAAATATTTACTAGAAAATTGCAAATAATTTTATTTATTTTTCATTCTATTGCGAATCATACTTTTATTAACATGTTTTCGGAGCTCTGACTAGGCCTAAGTATTTAGAAATTCACTGACAGCAAATTCTCAAACGGTGATTTTTTGATTAGCAGAAGCGCATCGCAAAAAAAAGAAACTTAAAGTATAATCTCGTCAGGGATCCATCTTACAGTCGCTCTTGCCACGTTGAGCGCTCCTGTTATTTTTGCGCCATTGTTGTACGCAATATCAAGCCCACACAATACTATGAATGTTGCCAAACAGTTTCTCATGGATTTACAACAGAGCAGCGTAAACAATTCCAAATTTAATTGTTGGCGCCTATAAATTTTTTTTTCGTGTTTGAATTGTTTTTCGTGATAAATTCCCTTCCAGCGGTCCATTATTTTGCTACGTTTTCAAGGAAATTGAAACTGTGTGAATGTTAGGCGTATCGTTAGTGTTGCGAAAGTAATGTATGCTAGCTGTCCCTGCTAGATGTGGTTTGTCGTCCCCCCCCCCCCCCCCCCCCCCCCCCCCCCCCCCCCCCCCCCCCCCCCCCCCCCCCCCCCCCCCCCCCCCCCCCCCCCCCCCCCCCCCCCCGCGAAATAACACCGTATCAATCAAGGCCTTAATAACTTCGTTATACGACGTCGGGGCCTTCATGGCCTAACGCCTCTGCTCTCTTAAGGGGCCCTGTCTCTCTGGATAAATAGTCTAATTTTTCCATTGTTCTACCTTCAGTTTATGGCGATATCTGCCGTGAAAACAGAATTTTGAGAATGATAAAACCTTCAAAAAAGGTCAGCATTTCCCAGAGTCGTATAAAAAAACATATGAGCGAGTGATTGTTGTATTTTTTGTCTTGACCGTTGCATCAAAATTTCACTTACGCGGGTAATGCAGAACGATTTTCTGTCAACACCACATATCATAAACTCTTAAATATTTCGTTTATCAAATTGCAAATGGTAATATCACCTGCTACAAGCTTATTAGTTTAGCGGTAGAGAGCAGTTGTTCACCCGTGAAGGTTGAGGTCCAATAAGTTGACGGTAGTTTATTTATTTATTTATTGGATGCACGCGTAGGTGCGCTATTCCGGACATAAGAGCACAGAATATACAAAAAAAAAAGTTCGATAGACCTTAACGCGAATGGAAAAAAACTATCACATAAACAGAGAAAAAAAACAGAGTCTTTTTTTTTCGACCGAGTTTTTCTTAGACATATACTGTAGTGAGAAAAAATAGGTTGACGTATAAAGTTTTCACAAAATGTAGTTATTGGACAAAAATTGAAGCTTAGTAAGCGGAAAACGATGCCGCCGTTGGCTGCAGTCGGTAGACACAAGTGTTTGGAAAGCAGAAGGTGGGGTTCGCAGTCTCGCTGGCACGAAGTTCTACCCATAAACTCAAGAATTTTGGAAAACACTCGCAACGAGCACTCCTGCGATAAAACAGCTTTCAGCAGACAAGCCAATGCCATGAAAGCGTTCAAGCGTGCTGGCTACAAATAAAGCATACTATAACCCCTGATCCAGTTAGCGATAATCACAAACAGAGCTGACATTCGCGTTGGGTGGGTGTTCGAAATCAGTTCGAGTTCTGAAGGGCATATGTAAGGAGCAGGAAAGAATATTCCACATTTTTTGAATGCCCCTCCACCTTCCCAATCTCTCAAAAAATGAAGTGGTGATTCTATCCAATACCACTTCGCTACTCAAAAGAAGACAAACACACATCCTCGTTGATCTTTGCTCCGAGGATGCTCGGCTCTGTGCGTGGAGCTCTCGTCGTCCCAAGTTTTCTAAAGCTTGTGGAAGTCTCTGTTCTTACTCTTATTAGGTAGCACTTTTGACTCAAAAGTGTGGGGGTTGCAGTTGACCTTTAATCGAGGACATAAATTTCGCTCCGCTTTCAGGCGAGAATGAAAGAGGATGGGCAAAAATGAAGAGAAAGAGAAGAGTAGGAATAATTTTCCAGTCCATTACGTTCGCAGTAAGTGAACATTTATGAACAATACTAATCTAGCTGGGCATTTGTCATATTTTTGGATTGCGCCACGCACTTGCTTTTCAACATTTCATCTTCTGACTATGCGATGACAATGAACGATTTTACGCACTAAGCCATTTCCGCATTCACGTATGTAACTTAGGCTCAACAATAACGAATGCCAATTATGATCAATAGGATTAGAGATTCATATGATCAATATAAGTAGCGGTGCAAATTGGTCGCCGCTGAACGTTTCCTTTTTTGCCAGAAAATAATCAATGGCGGGACCGAAATTTTTCTTTTGAACATTCTGATTCTTTAAGACTTGAGGATATAAAAACACTAGAAAACATAGTATATCAATCTTTGGAGGCGTTGCTCAAGCGAGAAAAAATAATGCACTAAAAATCGTTTCGGCGAACACTTTTGACCGCTACTGTTATACCCTCCCCTTCAAAAAGCCAGAAAGTGTCGGGTGCAGACCATACACCACAAGTGACGACGGCCTCCAGAAAATGCAAATGTTTTTGCCAATGAAATGATTAACCTGTTACAGTTGTATTCGATCAGTTGACACTAATTACAACTATCATTTACTAAAAATCAGCTATCACTATGAACCACTACTAACCAGATTTACTTGGAGGCCGTCGTCATTTGTGGTGTTTGGTCTGCACTCAACACTCTCTGGCTTTTTGAAGGGGAGTAGACATTGAATTCTCATCGTATTAGTATTAATGACGTCATTAAACTATTACTAAAGCCTCACTTGGAACAATATGTGCTTTGAAATTCTGAGTTCTCGGTTTCAGAAACTGTCCATTTGAATTTGAACCCAACTGTGTATGTGGCCCTGGGGTGACCAAATGCGAGTATTGCGTTTAATATTACTTATTTTTACATGACTGAAGTTTGTTTTTCTTGAAGAACTGGGAAGTGACCTGGGTCCTTATTGTCGCTGTTTGAGAGAAAACCTGCAGACTATTCAGAAAGGTGTGGATACGGAAGCACGGTGGTATGTGCGTGGTATTGAAGACAGATGAATACGTGGCCTGCATAGACGGTGGATTTGACTCGTTTTAACAGTGTGACATTATGGATGAGAAATTTGCCAGAATACCTCCCAAAGTCGTTCGTTCATAGATCGTTATTTCGACGTTGACGCGATTGCTTTTTTCCTTCTTTGTTGATGGGCTTTATTTCCCAAAATCCCATTCCCTCGTTGCTTAGAGGGAGGTCGAGTAAGCGTCGGGCTACACTGTTCGTCAGTTCAGTTTGATATCGCGTCGCGGTATCCCTCGACAGCTTGCAGTAGGATTTTTAGTCAGATCAGTTACGCTCTCCCGCTCCGAAAACCACACTCGCCACGCGCGAGCCGTTTGTGCCCTCCGCGCGTACGTCCACTCTCAGCACCACCCTTGCACATTACGGAGCCGTGGACCAGAAATTTCTCGACCGTTATTCCCCCTTGAGCCATAGGTATGCTTCAGCTGGTTTTTTATAGCTCGCTTTCATATTTTTCAGGCAGGCTTTACCGATAGGGCTGAGCGAAGTGTTGAGGGCCAATCTTTAACACACTCTTCCCTCTTGCGCCCTCCCTCCGCCGCTTCCTGAATTCGAGCTATTGTGATGTGCAGAAAGCTAAAAGTGCATGAAATTTAAAGGCAAAGGTCGGGCTCAGGCACGCTAGAGAAGTAATTCCCGTGCCTGGAGGTTGTATGTGGGTAGCTGCACACATTGCAGCAACTTCCCACCTTGAAAAACCCCGTTAAGGCCCCGGGGCGTTCGGTTTCAATCCAGGGCCGCCTGGTCAATCCAGGACCGCCCACCTCCGGAAGTGGTGCGTGGCTGGCATAACGTGTGAAATCAGCTAGGTTGATTGCCGTATCAACCGATAGAACGACTGACATCTCCAGAAAACTTGTTTGTACGTGCCTTTCCCCAAGCCAGCCTCCTTCACTGCTAGTGGGAAAGAGGGTTTTGTTAACGGCCTTGTCGACGGTTTTTCTCAGTTTTTTCTCCACTGTCGTTCCACTTCGCATCTCTATACTCAGTTTCAATCGCCATAATACCCCCTTATTGAGCCCGACTTTTGCCTTTAAACTTGAACTTGAGCACTCTGAACAAATTTTCTGTTCCTAGAAAATTACTTGAAAGTCACAAAAAATCCTCGAAAAATCTTTTTGTAGTGAGCCCCTTTCTACTGCGATGCCCCACTAAGAACAGGCCATCAAACGATACCAGCCTTCCCTACTCCCAGTCTGAATGTACTTATATTGCTGGGCCCAGAAGGGTTTTCCAGTACTTTCTTACGAAACAGGACCGCTTCTAGAGCAACTTAGGCTTATAAGGAGACGGCTATCTCGTAGCCTTGATAGAAAGGTTGTGACTAGCCGTCTTTCATTCTTTACTAGTTTCCAAGACTTGTAGCAGTCAGCAAAAAAAATGCTTCAAGTTTCAGAATCTAAAGTTACTGGATTCTTCACTCATATGATGAGACATATTTTTCTAGTTAAAAATTGGAAAAATCTAACCACATCGGTCGCCACATTAAACACCCGTCGATCCCGTAGACTTTCCGGTGCGAGCCATTTGAGCGGTAGACGAGCGGGTCCTAAACGGGGAAACGAAATCAAGCTCGATGTGTCACTTTGTCAACGCTACGATAAAACATGACGCGACAGCACGACGAGCTGTATGAGGGTGCACAAACCGGTTTCCGATTCATCGATATACGATTCTTTGTCGAGTAAATCAACGGCCAAACCAAAATCGGCGACTTTGACCACTCGATTAGCTGATATCCTGGAAAACATTGATTAGGAAAATGTTCATTACAACCTAGACATTGAACTTTTCTTGCTCTTAGTTTGGCTATGGAGCAGATTTTCAGCGAAAAGGCTTATTCTGTTGGCTTCCAGCGAAAGTGCTGTAACGATGCTACACATATCCCAACATACTGACACAGAAAACACCTAACGCGGTTAGAAGGATAGCCAGGTTGGGACAAAAAATCGTAGATGTGACGTAAAAATGTCGCAAGGGGGGGGGGGGAGGAAGCAAGGAAAGCAGGTTTATTTGTTGCCACGTGCCCTTAGAAGAAAGCTAAATCGACAAAATTATCCTCCCTCCGTGATATTCGGAGCACTCGCTTGGTTACTTTTTCATCAGGAACTATTACAAAAATGAACCTTCAGAAGGAAAAGTTCCAAAATCTTTTTGAGATCTCAAGATTTGGGTTTTTTTTACTATTGTGAAATATTCATTCCATACACTCACCTTTGTTCACTAGCACTTAGTGATTGAATAGTCAAACTGGTCAGAGAGGTAACAATGGTAGGAGGTAATTCAGGAAGTAATCTATATGTCGGGTAAGTAGACTTTTAAAGTCCAGAAACAGGATGACCATCATTAAAGTCAAAAACCTCACTTTGAGGGGCGGAAGCGGTTCAGAGCGGTGCAGTTTAATTTTTCGGTGAGCTTAGAGCCGAACTACGGCATAACAAGCGCATCTTTCGCCAAGAAACGCCACGTCGTCCTTCGCAAATTGTCTCTGCCTTCAAGTTCGAAGTCTCTCAAATATTATTTAAATATAATTATTATTTTGTTCATATACGCGGTACCCACCTTTCCTTCTTTTGACGAAACATTTTTTGGCTTTCAAAGTTCTCATTAAATGTTTATAAAGGAATCAGTTTTCGAGAATCTAGTAATGAGATAAACACTTATGGAAGTTGCAGAGATTGCGAATATTATTGGTTACTCCAACGGCTGAGTGCCCATACAGACTGCTTTCTCTATTGGGTTTCACATGGATTATGGGCAAAGGAGACCGATCTCGGCACTGTTGGCTAACCGTAAGCAGTCCCTTTAGCCATAAGGCTAGTCGTGCTCATTGTAAGATACTCTTAATAAGCGAAAACAACGTACATGCAGTTTCTTGCGGCAAGATCTCGATGGACAAAGTGCTGGGCAGCTAAATAGGCCATTCCTTGGGCTACTTGATAGGCGAAGTCCAAGAGCTCCAGGACGCATAGAGCCTGAGAAGAACAACGGTATGAAATGGGTGATACGGTAGAAAAGCAGAATCGATTAACCCTCCGCATCAATTCGGTGAAGAGAGGAAAACATTAAAATCAAACTCAAAACTAAGCAATTGCTTGTAAACAAAATTAAAGTAATAGAATAATTGTTACCGGCTGAACCGTGCTGCGTCCAGTGGTGTCTTCAATCGAAAAATTAGGAAGAAAAAATAAACAAAAAAAGGTAAATAAGTAGATAAATAATATAAAAAAACAAAACGAAATGCTCTTGCAAAGATATAATGGAAACTAACCCTATTAGGATCTCCAATGTAGGTTTTGAGATCGCCGCCTTCCATGTACGGCAAGACTACCCAAGGTGTGCCCGAAGGCGAAATGGCGATGCCTTTTAAGGACAGCACATGTTGGTGATCAAAATGCTTCATGATCACGCCTTCTCGAAGAAACTTCTCAATATGGGCGATGTCACGTGATCGTTCCCCTGAAAATTTGAGTGATTTTCAAGATTGACCGGATTGCTTTTTGTTCGTTTGCAAAAAATCTAACCCAAAGGTTGTTAATGAAGCAACAAATGAATGACGGCCCCGAAATAGGCTCTCAACTAGAGGAGGGGCTTTATACACAGTTTGTTCAAAAACAGTGGAAGGATTTGATGCATAAAGGCTAGAAAAATATCGCGCAAGGGTAGTAGGGGGGGGATGGGGAAAAAGCGTGGCAGAAGATGGTTCTTCCAGCTTGGAGAATAGCAAGCCAACTAGTGGAAAGCAAAAGTATTTGGTGGCCTCAGTTGAGCTCGTCCGATCGGACGAGCTGCGGCGTGCCCTCTGGACACTACTTCATCTCTGTCCGCTCTTATTGGAGCTGCTCCCAAAAGGAGTGCCCGAAAATAATGGATTTGCAGAATATTAATCCCAGACGATTGCTAGACGAGGGGAAAAGACCCCGAGGTAGACCTTCACCTAGTGAAGTGATCTTCTGGTAAGGTATACGGCCAGCTGTGGCGCAGAAGAGCCCGAAGCAGAGCGACCTGGAAGATGTGCGACCTGCGTTTCTGGCGTGCCCGGGACGAATAGCGGTCGAGAAGTAACAAGTAAATAAGAATTAATCAATGCTATTCAAAAGCTCTATTGTCAGAGTATTGGGCCCTCTATTGTCAGGGTATTGGGCCGCGTGTATTCGGAAATCTCAGCATCTACGCAAACAACGGGTTCGTGGCGCAACCCCGAAGAAGGTGGAAATGCCGCTCTTTCAATTCTCATAAGTTTCTAGTTTTCAAAGCTAATTTTCTCATGGGAAACCTGATTGTTCCCTAAAGAATAAAATAGATCGCGAGACCTGGAAGCTTTACGACTCTTCGACTAAACAGAGAACATCAACAACTGCAAAGCAGTATGCATGAAATAGATTCACTGATATTCCTACCTTTCAGCGTTTTCACTGCCACCGGCTGAGCTCGTCCGGAGGTGTCTCGCAAGAGGCCACGATATACATTACCGAAATAGCCTGGAACAAATTCCCTTGAGCTCAAATTATCGTTTTTTCAAATTTTCTGAAACAAATACATATCAGTCTGCAATAAGCTGAACTCGTGATCTATCAGGTGGAAGAAAAACTCTTTCGAGCTTCTCCAGCCACTGAGTTAGCCCAAGGTGGACTTTTGTGCTAGATTGGCACAGAAGGAGTAAGGGAACTCAAAAGAATAAAGGGATTTGATAGAAGAGGGGTAAGAGGTCTGATGAGGAGTAAGAAAGAAAGAGCTGGCTTATGAAAGTCATTTGCGTCTCCGATCCCTAGTGTAAGTGAAATGCGCGACGCATCACTGACTGGAAATCAACGACCATCACTCCGTACTTCACATCCCATGCTACCTCAATGTCTGTGAGTTCATAGCCCGCAGTTTCTCCTATGTTTGTTGCCGTTTCACTAGTTCTTCGCCACTCCTCCTTCCTCGCCTATTTCCCATCGCTCACTTCCACAGAAACGGAGCTTTCATCATATCAATCGATGGATGCTCTCAGAAAAACCTCTTTTGCCTCTTCCGCACAGGAAACGCTCAGTTAGCTGAGTAAACAAACGGTGAACGGCTGAGGAAATTCGAATTCCGACAGGGACACTACCACAGTTAGTTGACATCAGCCTACGCGTCAACCGGTTCAGCCTCGTGATGAGGTCGTTGAGGCGTTGCACGGGTACAGATCGACTCGATCGTTCTTCCTCTTCCGCTATGCTTTGTGGCGATTCGTATAGTAAATAGGTGACCTTCATGGCGATACTTTGGCCTCACATTTCCGAGATGGTCAGACTTTTTCACGAAAGCTCTGAATGGAGGAATGGTAAGCTCATGTTCCTCAGGCAAGGAGGATTCATTAAAGCACCTTCGCGACCGCGCAGGAATTTGCCTTTTGTGTTGCTAATGATAATGTATTCAATTATATATGAATCAATAACTTTATGGCCCCTGAACCCTTGAGTTAGAAAGGATTTTAGCTCCCCGATGAAGAACTGTCATACACATTCCATGACAGGGGCGTGCCGGTGGGCTCGGCATTATTATGGGACACCACGATTTGTGCTATGTGGCCTTAATACAATTGAATAACGCATAGAATCCTGAATAAGGTATTGATAGCCGAACGCATTGTGCGAGCCAACATTGAAGATAGTGCGCGAATGAGCAAAAGAGCCAAACTACGACAGGAGACATAGTGGAGACACTAAGGCGCAGACACTGCTGTGGACTCATTTAGAGGAAGTAACTTTCGATGGGGCAGGCTTACAGCGTAATAACAAACTAGCGCTGCTGGGGCAAACCCCTTTTGGAACTATAAACTGGGCGTGAATTGGGGCTCAAAGGCACACTCTGCCTTTAACGGCCCAAAGACTAGTGAGGCATAAGATGCCCTCCTTTTGCCTTTGGCTGGGGGAGCGGTATGTTGTAACTCAACGAAGTGATAGCAGATTCAAAGGTAATGCTGGCTTAATCGCAAAAAGGGGGCACTGTGGTGACAAAGCATTCGAAAGCCACGTAAAACATCTCTTTTTCGTTAAAACCAGGGCTACACCTTAAGCGGGGGAGAGGGAACTCCAGGAGTGGCATGCGCAAGTTTCCATTCAGAAGTTTCCCTCTTAGGCTCAATCCTATAGAGAGCCCTCGTATCATGCGCCAGTACCATTGTTAACCTTTATTATAGCTTGAAAAATTTTTCCCCTTATTCAGCTTACTTTCAGAAGGTTTCTAAGACCTTGGTAAAATTTTTGAGAGCAGGAACCATTTACTGTCTGTATTGATTGTCTACCGATTGCTAGGAGGCCCATACCTTGCGATACAGACCTATTCGATCGGTCATATTGGGGACACGGGTTCATTTTGCCACCATGGCCTTTCAGGAGTTCAGCTTCATCACAGGTACCTTCGAGAATATATCTCAGTTCTTTAAAATCTATCCTACTGAAAACTATTTACAGCCCACTACAGCTTGCTACAGCCTTAGCTGCCGCCTCCCGTTAGCGTGTTCGGCAACCTCCCACGTTGTAATACCATTTCACCGGCGTCAACCGAAGCTTAACCGTGCTGCTCCCCCACTCTATTTGCAGTCGGGATGAAAGCAGTAGAATAGCGGACGCCCTAAGCTAACAACTATGTCATCGAAGAAGCCACACGTCAGCGTTTCCGCACACGGAACCGTCATATCCTTCCTGTCACCTTTAATAGCAGGGAGATGGCTTTGAGCTGACTTTCAAGCGCAACGGGTTGTTTTCCGGGTTGAAACTGGCTGGTGGGCTGAGTGGCTGGTCAACCGGCACAGGTTTCTATTCACTTGAGAGCACGACCTTACTAGTTTATTTATGTAGGGCGTCCAGACAACCAACACCACACAACAACCCTACCGTTCGGTGGAAATAACACTGGTGCTATAGCAGGATGGTGAGGAAATGATGATTCGAGTGGCTAACACTTGAAAATTTTGCGCGCGCTTACGAGCGGCGCTTAACGACCACAGATCGGCCGTGGCGATCTTTTTTAGGTCGAAGAGCCATAAGAATATCAAGTCCTAGATAAAGCTTACCTTTGCCGACGATGGCCTCTAAAACAATCGCCTCTGATGGAATCAGAAGGCCTGACAGCGACTGACGAAGGTCCGGTCCAATCAACTGAAGCAGACCGACGGTCGAATAGGTGGACGACACTGAAAGTAAATCATTCATAGAAGGAACTCAAAGGGGGTATGACCTCTCATTATTGATTGATATTGATTTCCTTTGTAAGAGTGGTACTTAGAAGGCAACCGCATATCACACCGCCTTGCCTGACTCTACCGTTGAGCACTTCTATCACAATGTACTGTATCAGTACTAAAGTTAAATGGGTATGAATCAGGGTTTGAGTAGATGCAAAGATACGGTAGTCCCAATAATTTAGCTCTGAGTAAGAAAGTGAACAATTCCAATGATTTCCGACCCTGCTCCTGATTTGGTACCCCTGCTGAACCTGCTTACCCATTTTTTGAAAAGGCTATTACATTTTTCTACACAAACATAATGATATTGATTGGCAACCATTTTTTTATAAGACAAAAAAGCCATTTTTTCATAAGAGAAATTAAAGGAAATTCATTTGTTCTACATAGTTCTTCTTTTGAGTCTCTTCCATTTCGACTGATTCGATAATGAGCTCAATAAAAATAAAAAATAAACGAAGTGAAGATGAATAATAAAGCAAATTTGGTAAACAAATGGCTTTTATTATAAGTAGGACCGACATCCATCGGAAAGATTGTTCTGGGAACGAACTGAATTCTTCATATCGCAAAAGGTGATAAGCAGGGAAAGGCCAATTTCATGAGTCTAACCGTAAGTGGAAAAAATTACAGAAACGGTATTAACTGCGAAAAAACGGGAAACGCTTCAAAACGTATCAAAAACAGCCAAGGCAGCACTTTAGCTTGCTTCTGCACCTCCCACTATTATGTACATAACATGTGAGTTGCTTGAAGACAATGCAGTCTGACGTGCATCAATAATAAAAAATGTAAAATTATTTCAAAATTATGTCTCCAAAGTCATAAACGGTTATTTGCTTCCATATTCATTATATAAAATAGAATTTTACTTATTTAGCGATGGCTGTCCCTTTCTAAGATCGCAACACCAATATCACAGATCGCCGCCGACATGTTTTACTCTATTCCAAGCTTCATACTTCGTAAACGACTAGAACAAAAGGTTGCCCTGTTCGTGTGGGTCGGACTATCTCTTCCTTCTCTCCATCAGCAAGCATACCAATGGTGGAGATCTGTGTAGGTGGTTACAGACAGTAACGCCCACGCGTATTGCAGCACCACTGTCTTTACTCGAAAAATGATTCGAAATTTCGAAGCTGCGAAATAGAAGGTTTTTTACAAGACTAAACATCTTTAACCCATTCGCGACCGCGCAGGATTGCGCAATAGCAGCAGCGTCAGGAGATTTTTCTTCAATAAAATTCCGAGTGGAGGGAGATTTCCTCTGCCCAGGGCTGGCGTAGATGAGCGAGGGTATGAAGATTCTTTCCATGGAAGAAAACTTTCCAAATTCCATTTCAAGCCCTGCAGCCACAGTAATACCATTGTCCCGAGTGAGAGCTTTGTCAGCCACCGGTGGCTGACATTGTCACGAATGGGTTAATGATTTTAGGTAGAGATTTCTGCTAAAGCTTTCATGGTTGAAAATTATCACGGATTATTTGCCGAAAATAATTGTTCCAAGAAATAGCAAAATGATAAGTTTAGCTCAAGGCTGCGTTGTAGGCAAAACTCTTCACTCCAGGCGTGGATCGAGGCCGCTTCACTCACTTTCCGGCCGTTGTGCTACTGTGCTTACACCATCAGGGCACCACTCTCACATTGTCCTTTTCTAGTACATTTACCTCTGCACACCGGCGTTAACCTGCGGCGTGGCCGCAGTTCGCCACACAAAAATTGAACACGTAGTGCTGGTTCATGGTCAAAGCTGGTAGGCGAGAAAAAAAACAAACTCACGTGGCAAACTGCGTCTCAAAGGGTTTCAATATATCATGTGAGAATTGATAATTTTATCATGTTATAGATGTTTAAAACCTACTTACAGAACTTCCTTGAGAAGTAATCTACCGGTTCAGCTGTAGGCTCGAGCAACACGGAAATGGCGAAAAAAATAAAAAAAAATGCTAAAGTTTTACAACAGAACTGATAAGTAGGTTCTGCAGATTTGAATAGTTTGAGCAATTCAAGAAACATGGTAATTTTCTATCAAGTAGGTTTTGCTAAGCAGGCAAATATTTTGAGCTATTTGTGTTCAGTTGCTTGGCCGCTACGAGGTTTTTTAGTGTATACATTATTAGTTCGCCTAACGTTTCGAACAAAATCGTCGTCGTATTCTATTCTTTCTATCTATTTTTTAATTAATTCTCTACTATATTCTATATATATTCTATGAGCTATGTTTGCTCTAATATATTTGCAGAAGTTTTACATAAGTTGCTCATAATTATATATAATTTTTTGTTCGATTTTGCAACTATTGTGATTATTTTATTCAACTAATTTTATAATTTTTACATCTTGCAACATCTCGTCCGAAACTTTTTCACATTTACCAATCCATGTAGGTAAGTATTAATAAGTTCTTATGGAAAATATTGTCACACACGCCCTGAGTTATAAGCAGTTAATGCATTGCTTCATCCAGGTATCGAACCCGGACCTCGCGCGCAAATTGGAGTAAAAACTCCCGTAAGTGAAATGAAGGGATTCGAAAAATAATTGTAAAAATATCGAAAATTTGAAAAATGGTTTCAAAATATTGTTGTGGTATAAAAACGCTTCCAAATGCCCCTTCTTGGGCACCCGGAAACTTCTGATTCACCTCTGCTCAATCCGCCGCCGCCGCCGCCGCTGCCACCACCACCGAGGGTGTAGGCATGAAAATGCCGAGATCGCGGATGTGGCAATGAATGATGCGATATCGATCGATATCGACTTGAATACGATAATTCCGAATCGGAATCAGATGAATCGAATGCCGGATTCAGGAACACTTCACCCATCACTTCAGGTGAACTTCACAAAAATGACGCTGACGATGAAAATAATCCACTTATAGTCCGCTCAAAGCGGGTGCGACTGCATTCAGTAGATCTGGAATTCGTCGAGCGGATATTGAATAACGGTAAGGCGATGTTGCGAAGAGATTACTCAGGATTTACTAGTTACTCGTAGGTTACTGTCGGCAAGATCGGTGACGGTACGCTGTGAACACTGAGCGAATGGAGCGCGAGCAAAAGCGCACGATTTGAGGCTGGTTTCGTATTGCGAGATCACTAGACAAATACACGGCGAGAGTACATGACCGACAGGGAGCGTCAGAGAGAAAAAGAGACATGAAAAACTGTTTGGGAATCGGTAGAGGATCGTGAGACGCAGACACGTGTACAGGAATAATTAGCGATTCGGAGAGGATTATTTATTATTAATAGAGGTCGCGATTCTACAAACGATCGACCGAGTGAAAGTCAAACGTAGCGGATAAAACCCCCGTAGCTGGTGTCGGTCTTCGTTCCGCCACCGTCGCCGCGACCGCCCTCGGGGTGGTTGAAAAGAAAAAGACAGAAGAGAAGAGATTGACCCAGATGAAGTGAAAACGAAAGCCGAAAGAGAGATTTGGTAGATGCGGATAATCGCCCGAAAGGAGATCTTTATTATGAATTTCACGGCGGATTTGTTGGACTGGCAAAAAATGAACAGATGAGATCGAAAGGATGAAAGGGCTTTCAAAAACTCTCAGGTCACCTCCATGTTGTGACATCAAGGATGGACGGAGTGATAAAAAAAGCTCATAATAAATCATTTGGGAGGCAAGGCGTATACAGAAAAATGTGACAAATAGTATGAAAATAGTAAATAATTTGAGTAAAACTGAAAAGTATTAGGGTATTTGGGGGTGGTGAACTGAAGCAGAATAAAGGGGATAACGAATCCAGCTTTAAACAAATTCAGGGATGCGCCACGATCACGAATTCCGTCTAGATTTTGGAACCTGGATTTCAACCTCTTCGCTCTGGAAAAGGGACAGAAGGGGAAAGGGATAGAAAGCGTGTTGGCCTGGGCATGAATCGTGCCATGACTGACCCCCCTACATAACTGTGGCTGCTCTGTGCGGCACATTCGAAAGCTTGCTAAAGGTTTCGCTTTCTGACCTTTGGGACCTGCTTAAAAAATAGGTTCACTTCATTGAGGCCGAAAAAAAGGATACCGCCATAAGAGATGCTTAATTTGTTCTTAGATATACTCTAAATCCATGCGCAAAAATCGTATAATCCCACTCACTACCCGAATAGCGCGCCGCGCAAGCAACATCAACGGTATACATATTTTAGGATACGCATGCATTCGTCTTGAACTGGAGACTAGTGGAACAGTTGCATGCAACGTTCTTCCAAGCAATGGCAATCATGTGGCCTGTAGAGCATCGAAAGCGAACTTTCCACAGCAGAGGCTAAGCGCAGCGTTTTAAAAACTTCAAGCCGAAGCAGTTCTAATGGCAGTTTTTTCCTTCTCTCAATCCACTTAAAAATGCTAAAGAAATGGTTAGAGATGAGCGGTTTTTGCCACGAGAAAATAAAGATGAAGGACCGAACTACCACAACAAATAAAATAGAACGAGAGATGTTCAGTACTGGTTCTTCAAATTGGAGGAGTTGGCATAAAAGCGACAACCAAGATTTTACGAAGTTACCCACCCCCAACACCATCTTTTTTCTTGGAAATTACTTGCGGAGAACACACCATATTCATAAAGTCACAGCTTCATATCACATTTCATCCAACCAGGAATCACTTCAATGAAGGTCACCAATAATCATCCCCCCAGCGACGACAATGGGAGAAATGATGCGATCACTCAATGCCGAGCAGTAACCCCCCATCCCCGCAAGAAACTTTCCTTGGGATCTTTCTGAGACAAATCTAGCGAAGGAGAGGATTTATAAGGATGAAGTTCTAGTGTTGAGTGCCTCTTCAATGGCTCACATTTTTAAAGTTGTCTTGACTGAATAAGTTTTCTAGAAGAATCATAAGTCGTTCTTTGAGCACAATTACTAAGAGATTAATACTCTGAGAGCAGAAGGACATCTACTTGCACTCAGAGATGTACTTCTTTAGGATAAGGAATGCATAAAGAAGCCGATGAGTAATTCAGAAGGAAAAGAAAAAATGTCAGAAGGTGGTAAAAATCGTACTAGACCCGCTAGCCTTCCAATAGACCGACAAAATCAGCGCCTTTTCATCGTCTCAAGCAGCAAAAGATCGCCGTCAATTGTTGACGCCTTGTCGGCCTTTTGGGGATAGCTTTGTTTTGACATGAAGGCCACCAGGCGCTATCGAAGAAAAGCACTTCCACCTGGGTCCCATGTCGCCTAGGAAACCGACGACTGGAGTTCTATGAGTGCAATCTTCCACATAAAGTCGTCCTTAGCCGAGTTTGCAC